ATAATTTCTTGGACTTTACGTGAACGATCAGCATACACACATGCACAATCCCATAGGTTGTCCTTTTCTTCCATATTCGTACTTGCAGCCACTTGTCAACCAACAACAAGTTATTGCCGTTTTTCCAGAAAGGCCGTTCGTTTTGGCTGTACAACCAAACTGTCGGGAGTTATTATCGCTTATCGTTTTAGCGGCGACACCGTTTCAGGATCGCTTATAACACGGTCTAGGTGTCGCGCTGTACGGCTGACAAAATGTCAACTTTTTTCTCGTGATCGCTCATTTGTACATCGAAGAGTGCGGCTGGCGATGTTGGTCTGGTGAACTGCCACACCAGAAGTTTCGTACGTGGACGAAGAAGATGAATACTTATATTTGCACAATTTACATTTTGTACACTTTACCAAAAGCACGAGGTGGGGAAAGAAGATGTCATTGGTGTCGGTCGTTCTTCGTTGCGTCACTGGCACCTCTCCCCACGCAAACCGAAACTGACAACAACAACAACAACAACAACAACCAGATCGTAAAACTGAAGAAGGCGGCAACACTCCCGTTCGCTCCTGCTGCCATGGAAGAGGCCACGGCGAAGCCATCTGCACAACTGCAACGAAGAGCCAGTGAGTCGACCCATAGAACTCGCTGCTGGTACTTGGCCGCGCTTGATCATGTAGATACCTTCGTAGATCGTTTTGGCTCACGCCCCTTCGTTGGCGCCCTCCCTCTTCAGGGTGTGGAGAGCCCCACCAGACCTGGGGAGGAGAAACAGGGAAACCGCTTGTGCACGAATGAGTGAATTATCGGTCGTTTGGGCCAGGTTGTGGTAATGGAATTACCACACCAACTGAACGTAGTCGGTCAAACTGTTCGCACGGGGGTCAAGAAAGATGCCCGGGTAATAACCTCAAGAGGGACACGTAACAGAGGGGGGGAGGGTGTTCGTGAGACTTAACGAAACCCGAGTTTCCCCCTGGGGGCTCTTTGTCGATAAAGTCACCTGCCCGATGTGCCCACGCGATTGTAGGTGTACGTGGACCTGTAGGCAAAAAGCCGGCGGTGGAAACACCCTGCTTTCGTACGGGCGCACTTTCTTCAGGATCTGAGTATAGCCTTCTACATGTTTGCTCTGAGTGGTGTGTCGTTTCTCGGAGATGTGTTTCTTCTTCGCTTCGCACCTTGAGGGAGACACTCTAGATCTTTGCATGATCTACCCCGCTTGGGAGTGGCCCGTGACCACAGAAACTCGCCTCTTTCCAAGCGAATTGGTAGGCACCAAGAGAGAGAAGCGTTCTTCTGAAGCAAATTCTGCGACAATACTAAGCAACAACGGCAGCGAATCACCCAAACACCTTGAACATCCATCCCGTCCAAGTGGCATAAATACTCACCAGAGACCAGAATATGCAATTTATTCATGTATGTATCCTTAAGCGCTAGCAATTCTGCCTATTTCGACAAAGAAAGAATGAGCAGAACTTTTCTATTCCGTTCACGAGTCGGTTGGTGAGTCCATCTCGGGTGTCGTTCCAATCCCCGCGATTGACGTAGGCTTACCATGCGGTAGGTGTCTGTTTATCCGGCCTGTCGATCGACCTGTCCAATTCCTTCGTTTTGCGTACGTTCAGCCTTAAACGCGTTGAGGGACGAAGGCAAAGGTATGGTTCCTTCCGGCAACAGCGCGGAGAATGCTCAGGTGAGTTGATTTGTATAAGTGGGGCTTCGGTGTCGATTGGTTGGCTCACACTAGTGACTGGATGCCGTTCGGTTGGTTCGTTTGTGATCTGTGGAGACGTGCGGTTGGGGTCACTTGTGATGAGGAGCAATAACGTGATTGGTTGAGCAGTGATCGGTGTTTCGACGGCTTGGCTACCTGGTGATGGAAGAAGTCAATCTATTGGATAGTTTGATGACCTGACAAACGTTCTCTGACCAAGTGGTGTTCGGAGTTGGGTGGCTGGGCTCATGGAACGATTTGATTTAACTGAAACTTGCGCTCGTGGGTGCTATCTGCAGCTGTTTTGCTGTTGCATTTGTACTGGTTGCTCCTTGTCGTCTCGGTACCATGCAAGTCGCTACGCAATCGTCTCATGATTTCAGAAAGTGAACAGCATCGCATATCACCCACACAGAAAAAGGGGGCGCAAAATCCCTTGAGCCGATCGTTGGGGAAATGGAGCTCGTGAACAAGTGCTACGAGTGACTGCCTAGGCAAACAAGAAAATTTCCTCAACACAAGTAACCTCAGCTTTTTGTCCATGAATGATTCGGAGATGTTGGAGGTTTTGGCGGGCATTACTAGCGAAAAACGAAGGGGTTTTCAGGTGTCGCTTTCGTTCTCTCATCCCTCGGGTTACCGCTCGACCGGTGGAACAGAAAATATTGCCTAGGGTCCGGTTGTTTTCCTCCAAATCATCATGATTCTTGTTCTCCTTCTCTGCTGCCGAACGTCTCCAATACCCCTCAACAAACAACACCGACAATGACAACGACAACGACAACGACCACAACGGCCCTCTCTCAGGAAAAGGCGCTGGTGTTCCGTGACATCACTCTCAAGCTGCGGTCGAAGGAAAAAATTCTGATTGACAGCGTGACCGGTAAAGCCACCGCCGGCCGCGTCCTCGCTCTTATGGGACCCTCCGGTGCGTGGGCGAGCGCTTTCGAGCGTGTAGAGCACTATGCGCCGTTGGAAGAAAGCAGCAGATACTCTCTGAAAAAAATATAGAACCTCTGCTCCCTCCAAGGGTCTGGCGAACATTTTTATTTTTATATTTCCCGGCCCTTACCTTACTAAAGCGCCTGAAGACGACGCACTGTTAACCGGCGGGATGTGCAAATAACGGCCCATCTGATCACCGTTATTCTACTGTAGGGTCCCGTCGTGGGTAGGGTTGCGTGCTATGAAGCGTGCCCTCTGGGTAAAAGCACAAGCGGGCTCAAACTTACACTACACCATGTTGTCTTTCGTCAAAGCGAACAAAGCGTTGAGACGGCGAGTGGGGTATCCTCGTGTTTAACCTGCGTTACTCTCTGTATTCGCTTGCATATCTCATGACGAAGACAACACCATGAATGAACCACCTTGTCGCATTCTCGCGGGAACATCTTGACCATCAGACCTCATCCATCGATAGGGTGGTAAGTCCATTGTACGTTCCAGGAAATACTTTGTCGGGCAAGATTGGAGCACCCGAAACAACAGGGCCAGCCCCAGCCATTTCCGACTTTGCACGCCTCCCCCCCCCCCCCCCCCCCCCCCCCCCCCCCCCCCCCCCCCCCCCCCCCCCCCCCCCCCCCCCCCCCCCCCCCCCCCCCCCCCCCCCCCCCCCCCC